AAAAAAAAAAGTCTGCCTTGAGCATTATGCTCTTTTAAGAACTATCTACATTGGATCAAATTGACAACAGCAACTTGAAAGATTAGGTAGGAACCTTAGCAGGGCAGTGAATTTATGTTAATGGAGGAGGAACAACTCAGAAAAGGAGGATGAGAAAGGTTATATGACTCAAAGAATATAATCAATGTCACTGAATGGTACATGTAGAAACTGCTGAATTGGTGTGTGTTTTCCTGTGCATATTCTCGACAACAATAACAAAAAATAAAATGTTTAAAAATAAATAAAAAATGAATTCAGGGTCGAAAAAGGGCAAAGGTCATTCATGGCATGCTCCTGAGGGTTAGAGAAGCTGAGCTATGGCATCCAGGGACACTCGAGCAGCTTAGGGACCAGAGGAGTCATTTCCCTTGGGAACCCCCCCCAAAACATCACATTGTGCCATCCTCATGCACAGGTGGGTTTAGACAACAGGCTGGGCAGCTGGTCTCTCAGAAGTCGCTGGATGCCCCTCAGCCATGGTGTGATCACACCACTATATGGTCTGTGCCTCCTCTGTCTCCTCTAGGGCAGGGACCTGCTTATCTCTAGTGCCTAGTACAGTGCCTGCCACACTGCAGAAGACATGCTCAGTGGGCAGTTGATGAGTTGAATGAATGAGTTGAGTGCTCAGGGGACGGCGTAGATGTGATCGCACACATGAGCGTCAGTCATTTCCACGAACAGCCCTGGTAGCTTTCCTCTGACCCAGTGAGTTGGGGGAAGGAACCCTTCTGCCCTGCCCACAGCCCATTTCTGCCCCTCTTCCACCCACTCCCTACCCTCAACAGTTTGGTGCTTATGAATTACCCCTGTAATCTCAGAAAGCGCTCCACTGGGAAACCATTGAGTTAACGAGCCATTTGTATGCCAGTGACTTGGTCTTGCAAGACTCACTACAGCTTCCAAACCGACCTTGGCACCGGTGTACTCAAAGCACCTGCAAGATGGACAGCCCTTTCTGCTTCCCTCTGGAGGCCTGCACCAGGAACCATTCAGCAGGAGCCCTGAGAATTGGCCACTGTTCTCCCAAGAAAAACATGCAGAGCCTGCCACCTTGCGGCCAATTCTGGTCCTACAACAGCCCTCACCAGACACAGGCCCGGCAATCTTTAACCCTCGCAAGAGCACAGTGGAAGGCCTCTGAACTGATAGGAAGTGGGCATCGGGGGGGAAAAAAAGTCGCAGGTTCTGATTTCCTTCCTGTTTGTCCCAAAGTCCTGACCCTGTGGAGTCAGCCCCAGGGTAAGAGGCCCTACGTCCTCTTGAGGGCTGGAGAGGACAGGAGGCTGGAGCCTGGAAAGGGGCTGCGCTCATGGGCGGGACAAGCAGTACCTGTGGAGGACCTTGGACTACGGGAAGCTGACATGGCAAAACCGGCTCACCTGTCTCTAGCCCTAGCCCACCTCTCAGCCTGAGTGCCCCCATCTCCATAGGGAGGGTTCTGTGACTTTTCAGGC